GTAGACATATTGATGGTATGATAGTCAGAAAGGAATTCAGCAACACATTTTGAACATGGCCAAAAAGGCTGCAAAACTTAAGACATTTGGTATAAACATGGATGAGTTATTCTTAGTTCATTTTGTCTTTAATTCACTTCTTTCGCAGTCTGCTCCATTCAAAATTCACTATAACACTAATAATGAACACTAGAATATGAATGAGCTTACTAGTAAGTGTATTTAGGAGGAAATGAGATTAAAGCAAGATGGACATAATTTTACCCTTGTAGTTACTCATGTAACTATGAAGAATAAAGGTCAATCCAAAAAAATAAAGAACATTCAACCAAAGAAACAAAGTAGATCTAGGGAGAATAACTAGAGTCATGATGGAAAATTTACTATGAGTTGCTACTTTTATGGCAAGAAAGGTCATATAAAAAAGGAATGTAATAAGCGTAAGGCTTCGTTCGAAAATAGAGTATGAATATGTCTTTTGTATGTTATGAATCAAAACTTACTGAAATTCTTTCTAATACTTGGTGGATCGATTCTGAAGCCACAACTTACGTTACTAATTTAATACAGGGATTCTTACAACCCAGAAACCGAAAGAAAGTGAAAAATTCATCTATATGGAAAACCGTCTCAAAGTAGAAGTGGTAGTTATAGGTACCCATCACTTATTATTAGAGACTGGTCATCAGATGAATCTTTTGAACACTTTTTACGTTCCTTCGATTTCTAGTAATTTAATTTCATTATCCAAATTAGATGTTGTTGGATATTCATTTTATTTTGATTGTGAAAAAGTAAGTTTAGTGTTTAATTCAATGATAGTTGGTTCTGTTATTTTATATGATGGTTTATATAAAATTTGCTTGAATAATGAATTTGCACAAGCTTTAGTTACCTTATATTCAAATATTGGATCAAAATATAGTTTAATTAATGAAAACTCTTCATTCTTATGGCATAAAAATCTAGAGCACATCTATAAAGAAAAATTGAGAGATTAGTGAATGATGGAATTTTACAAAATCTTGCCTTCATTGAATTTCAAGTATGTATAAATTGCATAAAAGAAAATCAAACTAAATATATAAAAAAAGATGCCACAAGAAGTAATGAGTTTCTTGAACCACTCTCCATTCTTTATTTCACTGGAGAGAGATATTTTATCACCTTTATAGATATTTTATCTCGATATGATTATGTATATCTAATGCATAAAAAATCTCAAGCCATTAACATCTTTAAAATATACATTACAGAGGCTGAGAGATAATTAAATGAAAAGGTTAAGGTTGTGAGATCTGATCGAAGTGGTGAATTCTATAGTAGATATGATGATTCAGGATAAAACCCTAGTCCATTTGCCAAATTCCTAGAAAAACATGGCATTCGTGCTCAATACACAATGCTAGGTACACTGCAGCAAAATGGGGTTGTTGAAAAGCGTAATCATACTTTAATGAAAATAGTTAGGAGTATGATGAGTTACTTTTCTGTACCTATTTCTTTATGGGGTAAAGCCTTAAAGATCACAATGTATATCTTGAACAGAGTTTCTAGTAAGGCAATATCTGCAATTCCTTTTCAAGTTATGGACTGATAGGAAACCAAATTTAAGAAATTTATGTTGGATTTTTTCTGACATGTGGGCTTAATATGGGGCTTGGTATACATATTAGACTATCAATTTAATTAGTTGATTTAAAAGTGATTAAATATGGTTAAACAGTATTGGACCTTAATGCATCAAGTTTAAGTATGACCTTGTAATACACATATATTATTTTTGTAATATTCTCGTTTTATGATAGACGAAATAGAAATTGCAAAACTTTATCAATATAAAAGGTGGTTATGGTCTCCAAATCAAAATATCACAATTTTATTTTTCTGAAATCTCGTCACCATAAAAAATTAGTT